AGTGCACCTCCTGAGTGAAAGCTGAAGGCTTGGAGCTGGGAGTCACTTAGCAGGAGCTCTATAGTCTTAGAAGGACATAGCTACGGTCAAAGGTGTGCTGGGGAACGTGTGGTTGGGGGAAGGGTGCAATGGGTAATAGAAAGATTTTTTCCAGCTTTTTTCTTCTCCCACCATCCCATCTCCTGCCAATGCTTCCCATCGGCCGAACCCAAACAGAGGCCAATTGCCAAGCAGCTTGGGTAAAGAGAGTCTAAAGAGGTTATATGGATTTCTTGGGGCTGCTATAACAAACTGCCACAAACTAAGTGACTAAAAATAACAGAAAATTATTCTCTCACAGTTCTCAAGGCTAGAAGTCCAAACTCAAGGCATCTGCAGGGCCATGTTCCCTTTGAAAGGCTCCAGGAGAGAATCTTTCTCTGCCTCTTCCAGCTTCTAGTCACACCAGGCTTTCTTTGGCTTGTGGCTGCCTCATTCCAATCTCTGGCTTTGTCTTCACATGGCTTTCTTTTATAAAGATACTTGTCATAGAATTTAGGGTCCACCTAGGTAATCCAGGAGGATTTCCTCTCAAGATCCTTAACTCAGGACAGGTCATTTTAGGGGCCACCATTCAACTAACTACAGAGACCATAGTTTGAGATAACAGAACAAGGCAAAAAAGGGTAGAGAAACTATATTGAGAGAAGGCACAAATGGGACATGACAAGCCCAGGTTTATAAAAGAGAGAATCAAAATATTTAGCCAAAAGGAAAGATACTTTTGATGACGATGGCATTGCTCATTTAGTTTTCAGCACTTGAGAGAGTCTTTTGTGACTACCTTGCTGATATAATACCACCCACCAAAGAGCCTTTACAAGCTTGGGATTTAGAAGAAAATTAAACAATTAATGAAGATCCCTGCCAGACTGCTGAATGAGCCTCAGTTGGTGGTGGGGGGTGGTTCTCACTGTCACTATTGCTAAATGTTTAACAACATCTCACTCTCTTGGGGACTGACACATCCTCTGCTAACTCCCTGCCATAAGAAGGTAGGTCTCAGATCCCCACAGCCTGTGATGTCTCATATTTCTCTTCTCTGTTCCTCTTACCTATACCCTCTCAACCAGTTTCCAGGAAGGTGTTATTATTATTATTTTTTATCTTTTATGATTGAAAGAATCTGGTTGGCTTCATCCCATGTCATGTCAATTGCAGCACATCCTGTCTATAGTTAATGTCATCCTCGACAAGCCCATCTTGAGTACCTGGAAGATGTTACTACAGCAACAGACCAATTACAGCTCACAGCTACTGGATTCAGTGGAAAGATTTTCCCAAGCATTATGGTCAGAAGATAGCACTATTTTGTCCATCTCCCAAACTAATGTGCAGATGAGGAGCATGATAATAAAATCTGGCCCCCCAAAACCTTACAAACAGGTCTTTGTTTTCTCAGACTCTGACCTCTGGGGCAATGTGGCCATTGACAAGTGCCAGATGGAAAACCTGCAGCCGAATTCGTCTATTGTCACCGTGGCTTTCCCAACTCTCAAAACCATTCTTGCTCCGGATTTTCAGAGAAATAATTTCGCAGACAGCTTAGTGATGACAACCACTGTCAGGCCCCAAATAACCACGCCATTTAGAATTTCAATGACTTTTAAGAATAACAACTCCTTAGGTTGGAAACCACAATGTGTCTTCTGGAACTTCACCCTCGCCAACCACACAGGGGGGTGGGATAGCAGTGGGTGCTATGTGAAAGTCGATGGGGACAGTGTCTTCTGCAGCTGTGACCACTTAACATCATTCTCCGTCCTCATGTCCCCTGACTCTCCAGACCCTGATTCTCTCCTGAAAATACTACTGGATATCATTTCCTACATTGGGTTGTGCTTTTCCATTTTGAGCTTAGCGGCCTGTCTAGTTGTGGAAGCTGTGGTTTGGAAGTCAGTGACCAAGAATCGGACTTCCTACATGCGTCACATCTGCATAGTGAACATTGCTGCCTCCCTTCTGATTGCTGACATCTGGTTCATTGTGGCCTCCACCATCCGCGACCATTACTACCTACTCAACGAGACTGCCTGTGTGGCAGCCACCTTCTTCATACACTTCTTCTACCTCAGCGTCTTTTTCTGGATGCTGACTCTGGGACTCATGCTCTTTTACCGCCTGGTTTTCATCCTGCATGATGTAAGCAAGTCCATTCAGAAGGCTATTGCATTTTCTCTTGGCTATGGCTGTCCTCTTGTCATCTCGGTCATCACGGTGGGGGCCACCCAGCCCCAGGAAGTCTACATAAGGAAGAACGCCTGTTGGCTCAACTGGGATGATACCAAGGCCCTGCTGGCCTTTGTCATCCCAGCACTGATCATCGTGGTGGTGAATGTGACCATCACGGTTGTGGTCATCACCAAGATCCTAAGACCTTCCATTGGCGACAAGCCTAACAAGCAGGAGAAGAGCAGCCTGTTTCAGATCACCAAGAGCATTGGGGTCCTCACGCCACTCTTGGGGCTTACCTGGGGTTTTGGTCTTGCCACTGTGTTCCAAGGAAGCAATGCTGTGTTCCATATTGCATTCACCCTCCTCAATGCCTTCCAGGTGAGTTTTGCAGTGCCAGGCTCTCAGGAAGTATCTATGCTGGTAGAACGAATTAATGATAGAAACACAAACAGAAGTGAGAATGGGGAAGGATTTCAGTTCAGAGGAGGATCTAGCTGTAGAGAGCAGTAATCACAAGAATTCAATGAGCTAGAAGGACACATTCCTCTGCTCCAGTGGAAACTAATACCTCTTATCACCTGTATTATGATTTAGTTGCATATGCGACTCCCTTCTAAATGCCCCGATAACATAAGTGGGAGGAAAGTCCCTTCCCTACATGGGATTTTGCTATTTACCCAGCATGATCTTGATGCAGTTTATTATCTCCTAAATGAAAATACCACTATTAAACAAAGTAATCTCTCCAGTTCATTTCCACAAGCACTAAATGAGCCTGTCTTTGTAAGGTCAGGGACAGGATCTGTCTTTTTTATCACTACATCCCTAGTGCCTAAAAAAGACCTTGGCACAGAGTAAGTGCTCAATATCTATTTGGTGAATGAAATGAATGTTACGCACCACATAGTATGTCCTCTGGAAACATTTGCTGAAGAATGAAAGAATGAATGTCCTATGTAAGAGAGACATTCTACTCTATTATACTAAAGTGAAAAAGGTACCCTCTTTGTTCTTCTGCAGCACATAACAGTATAATTTAAGCCAATTTGTTAGAAAAGCTTTAGCAGAGGTACAGACAACAAGCCTTTGGAGCACAAAGAAGGAATATACTTAATTCTGATTTAATCAGTGGACTGAGTGGTAAGCGCAGACCCCAAGAGCTGGTGAGAAAGCAAAGGAGTCTGGTGGTGGAGTCAAGTCCTGAATGCTCACGCCAAGACCACGTAAATCCTAACTTCTGCTACTGGGCCGATAGCTCCAAACTATAGGGCCCATGTCTAGTGATGTTTATAACACACCATGACTAGAAGGGACTGATTATTTGACCCCATGCCTCAGGTCCTCATCACAACTGTGTGAGATATTTATAGCATAACCAGCAGGGGCTCCAGTTCATAATTAAGGGGAAATAGAAAATATCCTTATAACATAACATTTAAGGTCCTTTGAGTAGACCTACTGCATCTCTTTTAACATGATCATCTACTAGATGCATTTCATAAACACAGATGTGGAAAGAGGTAGTACAAATTCAATGCCAGATTAACAGTACTTCCTATTTTGCTGGACAATGGAATATGATTAAAATACACTTCTTTTCAATTCATTTTTCAGGGATTATTCATTTTACTCTTTGGATGCCTCTGGGATCAGAAGGTAAGAACATGATGGTTTTATGCTCATAGAAAAGTCTAAAGTGCTTGTGGCATGTTGAATTTATGATGGCTTTTTAAAAACAATGCAGGTACAGGAAGCATTGCTGAAAAAGTTTTCACTGTCGAGATGGTCTTCACAGCACTCAAAGGTAACTCTTTTCTTTATAGAGACTCGACAAACTCTTTCTCTCCACAACCAGTGTTAGCATAGATTGTTCTGTTGTTTTTGCTTCTCACCTGATTCTGCCTATTGAACACAGCCTTGGAACCGTAATTAAGATGCTGTCCCCGCATTTTTAAACAGGGGTCAAACAGCACAGATAATATCAATTGGAGGTTAAGATCAAATTTCAGTGAGAAACAAATGATGAGTTTCTAGGGAAACTCAAGGCAATAGAGAATACAATTTGAGGAATAATGATGAACACAATTTTCTGTAGTTCATTTTGGAAAATAACAATTTCACTCACATATATTTGACTGTTTTCATTTGTCAGAAGATACTAAACTCTATAAAACAGTAAAGCATTTCTTTGAAAGTTATTTTTTTTAATACCGATGATGAGATTTCTATGTTTCAAGATCCTCTGCTGCTTGATTTGTTTGAAGTAGAAATTCATGCTCATCCAGGCTCTCACCTTAAATTGGAATGAGCTATGCAGGTAGTGACCACTAGGGGGCAACAAATGAAATAGCCTAGAGATAAAACAGGGCCTTGGTCTAACACATTTCCTTTGTAATGTCTTTTTTTCTCTTTTCTAGTCAACATCCCTCGGTTCTTCTACGCCTGTATTTTCTATGAGTTCTCCAATATCAAGAAGATTTAACAATTTGTTTGGTAAAACAGGTATGTAGTGACCTCCAACTACTCCCCAGGTTGACCCAAACGAACTTGACCGGCTAGGGAGTCTCGCTCCCCTGCTTTTTCCCACTCCCACTCCATGGCATTTTCTTCAATGGACTCATTGGGGACAGAAGTTAAATATAGGAAAATAACTTGCTTATATTTTCCCAAACCACCAGGAGGCTGGTACAGAGGACAACTACCTTCAGTAAGCAACTAATCATAATTTATAAAGAATGAGATTTGGAAAATCTAGGCAAGCCTGTGGAGAGCTATCTGTCAAAACTATATCAACCATAAAAATGGAAACCGTAAACTGTTGGCCTTGTCAAACACAGAGTTCTTTTTTATTCATGCGAAGTAGGAATAGGTGGGCCATGTTTCTGGGTTATGATGCAGCAAAGAATGTTTAGAGAATCCTACCTATAGGAACTCAGACTATGGATTTATTTTCCCTTTTTTTCTTTCCTTTTTCTTTTTTTCTTATTTTCCTTCTTTTTGGAGTGTGCATGTTTTACACATTGACGTTTATAAAACTATAAATACATATATGAGGAATCACCTATGCACAGTTAAAATATCCAGGTATGGAGGTATAAAATAATATCAATGGCTTTGGGCAATAAGTCTCAGCTATTCTGGCAAGTTGAAACTGCTGTTCTGTGCCACTATCTCCTCCAGGAAAATAAGCACCGCAATTCCTTTCAGCTTCTTGAAACCTAACAGATCTCACAAATGCAGAATCTAGAAATGCGTCAACATTCCTGACCAAAGCTTTTCGTGTAAAATCAAAATTTGAGAATATCTGTTCACTGTTAAAACTGCAGAGGACTTGGTGTTTTAGGCTTCAGTTTGAGGCATTACTCATGAAACAGGAGGACTTTTACTTTTGATTTTGAAAGTCACTGATTAGACAGACCTGTTGTGAAATGACAAGATCTTCAGCGGGTATTAGAACTATTGCACTTGACCAGCATCGTCACTGGGACCCGGTTACCATCTGCATTAAAGCGAAAATCGTGAAAACTCTATGAAATGATTCTACAGAATCAGAATTATGCAATATATAAGGCCAATTAAAGGTGTTCCTTGTATCTGAATCAGTCAGATAAAAGTTGGAATCGGGCTCTGTTCCGGAAGTCCCAGGGCCTGAGAGTCCCAGTCATTGCCACTGATGGCCTCTCGGGGTCATTAATGAAGCTCCAGATTGTCTTATTTGAGAGTTCCGTAATCACTGTAACTTTGGTTTATGTTGTCAGCGGCCCCAAAGGGCCCCCCAGACAATGATGGAAACCTTGTTAGCAGTGGCAGTTCACCATTCTGATGGTAGGGTGGGCGCTGTGTCCTTTCCCTTGCCCGACACACCTCCTACTTGCCCTGTGCTCAGTCCCTGCCTCCCTGCTGACGCAAGCCTGTGTGGTAGCTCTGCGGCTGCCCTCGCTGCTGCACTAGCTCTCAGCACTTTTATTGGCATCCCCTGACTTCTGCTTTTTCAGTCCTGCCGTTTCCTCTTCTGTAAATTTCTCTTCTCTTGCCTTTTCCCCCTTTCCCACCTTGCCTTCCAGCTCAGCCTCCGGGCCCTTCCTAAGAGCTTCCTCGAGTCACCCCAACCCAAGGGAACCAGGGAGGGTCCCCCATATGGATGTCCACAGGCCCATGCATGTGGTGGCATGTGGAGGGCTACCCATGCTGAGATTTCCCTGTCCTTCGTAGAAATCTGGCTGCTGGTATGATGGGAAGTAATTAGTGCTTGTCTTGTCGCCTGCCACGCATGTTTGAGAAGGACGGCTTTGTTTGTTCTCCAGCATTTCTGGGTCTTGGGAGGAGGGCAGGCATGGGTTTGTTCCCGGGCATGGCGAGATTACCCAGCTCCTGGACTAGGATTTCCCCTTAGGTCCGTAGGTTCGCACTCCCGTGATCGTGCAGATCTGCCTTTTAGGCTGAGTTGCTGCTCTGTTTTTCAGGAACGTACAACGTTTCTACCCCGGAAACAACCAGTTCATCCCTGGAAAACACATCCAGTGCTTATTCGTTGCTCAACTAAGAACAGGCAAATCCAACTCATGTGACCTCTCGGGGAACAGTGGATGTACTCTGAAAAAGAGATCTTTTCAAAGCCCTGGGTAAAATATTTTCTCCACAGGCTTCTGGGAGCAAATGCTGAAGAAACTGTTTCATTAGGGAAGAGGCTTTCTCTTGTAAAGACAGACTAAAAATAATTCAATTTATTTTGCTTCTCTCCCCCCACCCTTTGTGTGTTACCAAATGTGTATAGTATTTAAGTGAAACTCAAGTCCCCCAAGGTCCAGCTTGTCTGTCTATGTTGTAAAATAGAATTTCAAAGAGACATTTTCACTTTTCACACATTATACACCAAGATAAGCTTTGATTAAAATAATAAGTAAAAGGCTAATATCTAGGAAATACTCTGGTGAATTCAAGGAAGGGAGGGTAGGAGAGAGGGAAGAAAGAAGGAAGGGGAAAAATTGAGAAAAACAACATTAAGGACCACATTTTAAGATTTCTGCGTTAATGATCTAATGCAATTACTCAGATACTGCAACACCGAGAATTAAAAAATGGCTCAAAAATGGAAACTGAAAGTAAGCCATGGGGCAAGTTCAATATCTTCCTGGTATTTTCTTAGCAGGGGGAGAGGGGAGGCAGTGGAAAACAAACAAACAAACAAAAAACAGAGAAAATTGTATTATCAGGATGCTTTTGAGTAGATAATAAGATATATAAGAAATGAATGGAAAGAGCCATGATTCTATTGATGTTGAACACATACGTATATATTTTTGCACTTAAGGTTTGAGCTAAGCAGAATGAATATGCAAAGAAAGTGTGATAACCATCCTTTATCAGATCCAAGTAGATACAACTGCGGATTGCATTTCTATAGTTTATTAGAAATGCCATATTCTAATATGGTTTTGGTTTATTCCATGTTTTGAAAGCAAAAAAATACATATTTTTATATCCATTAATTGCCAAATGTGATATATTGCACTGAAAACAGACCCCAGCTGTCATATATTATATTTAACAGCTTTAACCAGGTACTTCTCTGTGCATTATAGAATAGATTTTAGTAATCTTGCAGCACTGTATATTATCATTGTTGTTGTTACTGTGGATTTAGTGGGCCTTGGTGTGTCATATAGCTTTCTATGTATTAGCTCTTTCAGTCCTTAAGTTCCCAGACCAATATACGTTAAGAATCTTGTATGATCTAACTTGTGTTTATTCCAACCACTTAGAAATTTTTCAGAAAGTTTTATAGCTGGCTAATCTATGCTCTTAATGACACTTTACCTTGACAAACAGATGATGGAGGTTTTCCGAAGAATTTGATTGTGATTTTTGTGTGTGTGTGCCTTTTGTACAAATATAAATATTTATTAAAATTGCATCCATCTTGAAAGTTAACCATGTGCCGCAGCTATAGCAACTTTACATTCCAAATCAAAGTTCGATCCCTGGGAGATAATGAGGCAGAATAAAACTGTGGGGCTACTTGGGAAATGTGAGCTGTGTAGTCTTCATAAAGACTGGAACCTAAATGGGCCCAACCTTCGGGAAGATAGGACAAAAGAGGCTGAGATTTGACAGTCATTTATTTATTGAGGTTTGAAAGAGTTTTCTTTTAGTATTTTAACTCTTTAAAATCTCTTCCTTTTACTTTTAATTTTAAATTCTACTCTAGCTTTCTTTTCTTCATGGAGAGAGGGAGGTAGAACAGAAATATGAATAACATTTAAAGTAAATAAACTCTTTATTTCTACTTATTCACAGAAGACATACACATTGATTCGTATGTTTGCCTGAAAATTGTCACGTCACTATTCCAACTAAAGAGTTCATTACTTAAAGTCCTTAAAGGAAATGATGTCAGGCTATGACATTCTCCTGGGCATAAACTCAGTACTGTGAAGACAGTCAGAAGTCAGGTTGGAGGAGCCATGGAAGTAGAATTAGCATTGGAGAAAGATTGGCTTTATCTGATCTGGTTCTCGGGGTTTTATCTGGGAGAATCGAAGCAGGGTTCCAGCACACAGTTAGTGTGGCCATCTTGGCATGATCAGCGAAGAAAAGCACAGCACTTGGGAGGAGGCTGTGGTTCTCATGCTCGAAAACACAATGAGACAAGAAAAACTGAACTCCCACCCACTTCTGTAGGGTTCCTTGGGGAATCACTGTGTTTGACATTGTAAAAGGAACCTCTGTAATGGCAGGAACCTGTAGCAAAGTTCCACAGGGTGTGGATCTGGCTCTCTGCCCACGTTTGTTAACTGAGGCACATTCCCTTACTCCCAACACATAGACACAGACACAGACACACAGACACACACAGACACACACACAACACACATACATAGGAATGCATATACCTCCCACCTTTCCAGCCACAGCACTGAATATAAATTATGTTCATGAAAACTATGAAAACAAAAACTTGGAGAAATACTTGCTGGTTTTGTAGCCACCCACAAGATGCATAGTTCAACCCCTGTTTGCCAAGAGTATGATAAAATGAACAGTAGGATTCAAATTCAAAAGTGTAAAAGAGAGCATCCATGAATCTGTAAATTTTATGGAAGCAGGAGCCTCTGTTGGCCTTGAGGTCACCAGTTCTCAATCAGCAATGGTTACAAGGCTTTAGTGGCTGATTTCTGAGGAAAGAGAAATGTTGACTCTGATAATCATGCAAAGTGAGATGTGTGGTCTCCTTTGCCTGTAAAGTGCCCCGTGTTTCTCCACACTCCTGCATCTCTCAGTGCACAAAGTCAGTTTCATTGACCAAAACTTTCTTGCACGAAGGGACCATCCGTTAAGTCAGTTTCTTGCAAAGGGATCTGTGCTAAGGCTTCAGATGTCATGAGATAGGAGCATTCACAAAGGAGCTGTTGAAATAAAATATAGAAATGTCCTCTAGGAAGATTATAAGTCCGGTGGAACATGTCATCTCTTGAATGAGTCACGTATCTACCTTTCTTTCCCCTATTTCTTATTTCTTATTGAAAAAGATAAAGATTCACAAATTTTTCAAGATATAAGTTGCTAAGGCCAGAAATTGAGAAACACTGCAGAAAGTCATAGTCTTTTGTGGTTTGTGTAGAGAACTTTGGAGGGGTCTGTGTTGGAAGATTCAAAAAAAATAAAGTTACATGGAAATGAGAAAGATTACAGCAACTAGTAAGTGCAGAAGTGGGGGAGAAGTTATTCTGAGGTGACTGGAACAGAAAGGCACGACCATTTGAGAAGATAAGAGGAAATGGGTGGTCATAGAAATGCCATGTAGGTGGAATGCGTTTTATTTGTGGCATGTGAGGATAGTGTCAAACGGGGCTTCTGCTTCCCAAAGAGAAAGTCAGTGGTCCAGGCCAACAGAAGCCAGATTCCTTGAGTGTCCAAAATAAAGGAGGGTCTTACAGCGGGTATATCTTCCTTATGGATTAAAAAAAAAAAAAAAATCAATGAAAATAGTGTCTCATCATTTCAAAATGTTAACTTTGAAATGAGATGATTTAGGTTTCTAAAACTGTTACTTGGGATTCAAAATCATGTCTTAGTATGCCAGTATACAGCTATGTTTCCTCTCCATGCTTATAACAATAAAATATCTCACAAGATCTGGTGAAGCTTTCTTTAAATTGTCTGCTCTTATGCAATATGCTACTGTTGCTGTTTCAGGCTTCCCTGTGTCAACCATAACTTAACTCCGTTCTCCAAACAGTGAATGATCCCTTCCATTTTCCAGGGATGGGGTGGGGTGGGGCCGATGCCAGAAGCTCACAGCTGAGCTCAGTTGTCCGACAGGACCGATGTCTTCCCTCACACCATCCACACTCCCACTCAGCATGTTCTGACATTTTTGTGTGTCTCCGTTGGGATTTTCATGGACAGCTGAAAACAGATTCCTAGTTCTGTTAGCAATAGATGTTTCTGCAACATGGCCCTATATCTCCTGTATCTGTTTTTTATTTGCTGTGTAGTATATTACCACAAACTTATAGGCTTAAAACAACCCTCATTTGTTATCATATATTTTCTGTAGGTCAGAAGTCTGAGCACGGCTTAACTGGGTCCTCTACGGAGGGTCTTACCTCGGGCACCGCCTCCAATCTCCTTGCTTTTTGACAGAATTACAACCACAACCTTGTGATTGTAAGACAGAGGCCCTCACCAACTCCAGGTGTCCTGCTATCTCCCACCACGTGTTCCCTCCATGACATGACATGTTTGCTTCTTTAAAGTCAGTAGAGGAGCTTCTGTACTAATTTGAGTATCTCTGACAGCTTTGGTGTCTGACCTTTAGACTCTCTTTTATAGGACTCACCTGATTAGATCAAGTCCATTCAGGGTCACCTGTCCTGTAATTAACTCAAAGTCAGGTGATTAGGGACCTTAATTACATCTGCGAAATCTCTTCACCTTGTCATATAATGTAATCTTCTCAGAGGAGTGATATCTCATCATATTCACAGGCCCTGCCCATGGTCAAGGGGAGAGGATTATACAGGATATTTTGTCAGAGAAGTTAAGGACCCAATACTGCTCTGTAGAATCTGTGTGAGGCATTAGCTGTGGATATGTGACCCGTAAACATTTCTTTATCCATGTAACCACACTTAGAAGGGTCTCTCCAGTAGTATCAGTAATAAAGCTCTCATGCTGTAAATATTTTGTCTGCTGAATATGCAAATATGAAAGAAGTCACCTTTCCCAAGGCGATGGCATCCAGTTGTGTGGAAATTCAGAGAAAGGGTACTATTTGGAAAAGCTCCATTTATCCAGGTGAAAAGAGGCACACCAACTCAGGAGCCAACAACCCTTCCCGGCCTCGTGTGTATCTGGTGCGCCAGGTAGAGTGAGCCCAGGAGGTAATGTGCCCTTGACATTTAGGCCAACAGATCAGAGATGCCAGCCAGGCCTCTGAGCTTTGGTACATCTGACCTCCCAGTCCTTAAAAATAAAGTCAAAATGTTCCTCTCATCCTGGGCACTTATCCTTCAGACCTTCCCATGAAATAATGCCACCTGCAGCCTGCATTTTATGCCTGGAACTGGGGAAATTTTCATACCTCAGTAGACCATAATCGCTAGTGGGGTCTAGACCCATGTGCTTTCATGAGTCACAGTAGCTTGTCTGGAGTTTTCTGCTTATTTGGGATGATTTTTTTTTTCTTCTTAAAATAATGTATACATCATTTAGGAG